CGGTGGCGCTTTCAGTGAGCTTGGGTGCAGTGAATGCGACGTCGTTCGGGACATGCTGGGTCGAAGAAGTGATGCTGTGACTCGAAAGCATTTCAATGTTCTCCCGTGGCTTGAGCATCTGGTTCGCTACCGACGAGGAGTTCAGCTGTGCGGGCTCCGTGGAAGACTGACTATGCGACTGCCATCGATTCTTGGTACTCGAGCTTCTACGAATGCCCAGGAATTGGAGGAATGAAGACTTTCGCGACGGTGCATAGCCGTCGCTAGGCAGGTCGATCTGGGATTCACCAGAAATTCCTCCAATACCACCAACTGAACCAGGCTTCTCGTTCTTCGGGTCAGGGACGTTCCGCGCGGTGCCGTAGTTGTGATAGTTCTCAGTCTGGAAGCAAATACCATCTGCGCCAGCTACTTCCTGGCCTGATAGGATGATAGAAGGTACAGCCGTGTCAGAGTCGGGGTTCTTGTCTAGGGCGGTACGATAACTCTCATCAGAATGCTGCTCCTTGAGATTGTACACTGTTGCTTTATTAGTTGAGATACTAGCTTCCGCGATTAATGTAAACCCACAGTCAAAGTTGGCGAGGTCGAGATCAATAAGACTCTCAGCAAGGCTGTTGCGATCGTCGTCACCACTGATATTCTTGAAGCCCGATGGCGAGGCGGTACGTGTGTTCTGCATAGACGAGTATACAGAAGATGACGGATAGTGGGACGGCTCGTTCGCTTGCAAGGGCATTCTACCAAACAAAGTAGTCTTTACCTCCAAGTCGTCTTTCAAAGGCAAGTCGGCGTACGGCTTGTCACCAGAAATTTCTTGGAGGGGAAAGCTGATGGGGCTCGAGTGTTGACGGTTTGTTCCTTTCTCATCGCCAGCTTCGGTAGCAGAGCTGCGACTAGGCACTGCAGTTGCGAACTTCTTCTTGCCATCCAAATCCTGAGCTGTGACGAAATCCTCCTGAGACGAGAGCTTCTCGGCGAGCAGCCAGGTCTCCCAGCCACTGCCATCCTGGGACTGTGCAGATTCCGAAGTGCGGGGAGGCTGAGATATGCCCACGGGCTCGGTTGCGAGCTTGCCATCGGGCTTCTCCATGTCGCACAGAGTTGCGCCGTTGCTGGAAGAACCATCTTGAAATTGGGCCTCAGAAGCCTCCTTGTCGTCAAAGGCAGCTGTGCTCTCAGCGTCCAGTGGGAGGGGGATATTCTGAGGTTGAAGAGAGAGGGCCATCTGACTTTCGCAGTGGGGGATACACTGGGAGAGTCTCCAAGTTCTGAAAGACTCGTCATCCTGATCGGCGCGACTCTGGCGAGCAGGGAGAATCGGGGCCGGGGGAGGCATATCAGGGAGTGACCCTCGCTCTCGAAGAACAAGATTTGTTGCCGTGACCTTCGTGGAGGTTTCAGGCTTTGGACAGCTGCTACGCCGGCGGTCTCCAGTGGTGATATCGATAGGATGAACCTTAACACCTTCGTTCGAAAGCTTGGCAGCAGGCGGTGGCTGCGGCAGAGACGTGACATCAACCACAGAAACATCGGTGGGAATCTCCACCTCTATTCCGCTCCGCGGCCGCGGTCCGCTCTGACGCTCGCTCTGGTGATCACCAGGAACTTCCACCACTGTCTCCAACCCACGGAATCTCTTACTTCCAGGCGTGACAGATCGCGAACTGTGCTCGCTCTCGAGGTCGGCTTGAATGCGCCTCATGTTGTTCTGTCTCACAGAGTAAGTATAAGCAGCCTGATCGTATTGCGGGGAGCCATCTATCTCCGTAGCAGCGGGATTGGAAGAGGGCCTCTGAATGCTGATAATCGACACCCGCTTGTCACTGTCGGGACTGTCAGACCGCTTGTTGCTGTTGTTAGAGCGGCGTCGGCTGAGTCTGCTCCATGGGCCACTTCTTCTGGGTGCTTCGATTTGATCCTCGTGGTCCGACACATATTCGACCTCGGTGGGATCAGGAATGAAATCCAGTTCAGGAGAGCGCATGTATGAGCGCTGAGAGGACGTAATGGAGCCCCCTGTGTTGGTTCCACTGAGCATGAGTTCCATGTTGTAGTTGCTTCCAGGCAGCTTGGCCGGAGGAGGCAGCTTGATCAATTCGACAAGGGGCTGCTTCGGAACCTGGGCTGGAATTTTCTCCTTCGATTTCGCGTTCTTCGCCTTTCTGTCCTTCGACTGCGTGTCTTCGGGAGGATCCGCCTCCTTTGCCTTTGCGTCTTCATCCTGCCCCTTTTTCTTGGAGGAGATGCCGATGCAGCAGACGTGCACCATCTTGATGGGTTTCCACTGTGGATGCTCGATTTTCTCTGTGTTTGCTTTGGTCTCCAAACGAGCGAAGAGGTGGTGATAGTCGGATGGCTGGCGAAAAATACTCGGTACCAATCCAAGAAACTGCTCGACCTGCCCAAGAGGAGAATGATGCAAATGAAAGTCTGATGAGCAAGGTTGTCTTGCAACAGGCCAAGGCCAAAAACAGAGGTTGAAGGAGATGGGGGATTTGGCAAGAAGCTTCTTCTGTGGAGGGTAGAGGGCAGAGAAGGAAAGCAGAAGGCCCAGTCAAGTTGTGGAATGTTGACCTGACGATGTCATCTTTCTGCTGAGTGAAAACAGCGGGTGCCCCTGAGGGTTCCTTCTGGAGGATCTGTTGCTTTCACTGGTGGCAGTCACCAGGGACAACATCACCAAGCAACACGGGCACCCAGGTCAAGCAGCGGTCATCAAAGACCAGCAGCCGCCTCCCTCAAAAATGCCATGCGGCTCGTGAGAGCATGTAACAAAGGCAACGCCGCATGTGTGAACTGCGTATACTCAAAACTGAGGGTGAGCGCTTGCTTCGATATCTGTATATACCCGCTACCCATCTTCAACCCATCTAACATAACTTTTGTCAGAGTAATCATCCATGTTGGAGTAGGTTTGAAGTGTTGGTTGTTAATACTGACAACTTGGCTTCGATTTGATCCTGTTCGAACAGACTCTACAACACCAGCCATTTGGGTTGTACATGTTGACTAGTGTTGGCCTTTCTGGGCCCCTATCTGAAGCCTTCAAGACTGTCTTTGAGCATCGTCCGAGGCACCAGTTGGGAGCACCATCTTGGAGCATGATCTTGGAGCACCGTTCTCGGGCGTCTTCATGGTCATCGTTTGGATCTGTATCTCAAATCATCCGCTTGAACGTGCAAACGATCCAGATCCACAAGCATTCGTGTAGAAAAAATCAGAATGGGTCTTTTCAGTAGGACTCTGCATCAAAACAGGTCATTTCAGTAGGACTCTGCTCCGAACCTCTGACTGACTAGCTCTTGACGTAGCTATTGCTGTTGATCCGATCCTCCAAATGGCCTTTTGGCTATTGCTAATCAGACCCATTGAGAAGGTAGTATTAGCAAACCATAACCCTCGGGCTTACAATATCTTGTGCCACTTGGCATCGAAGAATTCGAGTTTCGACGTTCCCTCTCGATCCATGTAGCAAACGCCACATTCTAGTTCCCCAGAAGGTGTTTTACGGCTCATCGACATGCTCTGTTCTGTGATGATCTTCCCTAAGCAGCTTTGCTGCGGCTAGGTACGGGAAGGAAAGCTCGCGTTTTGGTACGGAACCATCGATACATCGATTTCAGACAGTTGAGACTGATGATGCCATGAGGTCGGGAATGGAAGCCTCGGACACGTGGGTTAGTGGAGGGCGGTCGAAAGCGGCCCGTTCAATGAGACATCCGATCCGACGTTGTGCCCTATGAGGCCGCAAGTACGAACGGGTGGCGCAGCAGGTTTTCTTGGCTTGTGGGAATTTTCCACACGAGACATGGAAGTGATGAAGCTGGTATCCGTTCAATATGCCGATTTGAATGTTGCCCGGGTCTAGATTTGTCAAAATGCGCAGACTCGAGAATAGCTTTCGCTGACTTCAGCGTGCAACAATCTAATGTGTAGTCGAAAGGATGACCCGACCCGGTTGATTATGGGGACGGAGCTGCCGCATGATACTTGGCGACAGGGTTAGGAATTCGGGTGAGCGACCGATGCTGTGCAAACAAATGCAAGCGACCAAACTCAAAACAAGGACGTGGGTGTCAGACAGGAGGAACCCCTCCTAGGTATCCCAACTCCCTAGGAGGCAGTGCCAGCCAGCCAGGGTGCTACCGTGTTTGACGTTTTTTGACGAGTGTTCCGACTTGGTACGCCTGGTCGGTCCTTTTTGATTAGCAGGATTTGACAGAGCATCAAGCCTTCGTATCAGGGAATGGGAACGGCAATTACGGCGCGGTTGCGACCAACATGAGGCAAATCAAGGAAGGCGATGCGATGGTGTGAAGCAGGCGGAAGTTGAAAGAAGCAACGACGGGAGGCAAAGCGGGTTGGCGTTGATGTGTCTTGGCCCAAGATCAGTGATCGCCCAGGCGTTGAGAAAGTGAGGTGAAGGGGAAGACGATCCCGTGTTGGTTTCCAGGATGGGTGTAAGACAAAATGGCGGGGCGGAATGCAATGGAATGGGCCGACGCCGGTGTCTCTGAGTCTATAGGCCTCCGGATCTCTGAGTCTGTGAGAGACATGTGGTCGTGGGTAAGATATCGTGACATCTGAGGTACGACGAACATCTCAGGAAGGTAAGGTACCTTATTCTGAGTGCTGCCTGAGGTGATCCAGGTAACAAGTCCAGGCTCCGTCCCGGGGAGGGACGTAGTGGAGGAAAGGCGGAGGAAGGAGCAGAGGAGCTAAACCCAGGAGGAAGGCACCGAACGGCGAGGAGCAGGAACTTCCAGGAACCGAAGGAGCTGAAGTCACCGATTCGGGACCACCTTCCCGCCTTGCCCCAGGAGTAAGACCGGGCGGGAGACGTGTTACCGTCGTCAGCGGGTGGCCTTATGTCCAGTGCAGGCTGACGTTGACAACTTCCATTGACAAGCAATCTGAGAACCTGGAAGCTGGAGCATCCATCCATCAATCAATCGGCCAGTCACTTCTGACAATGGGTTCAGGCTCAAAACTCCAGAATGGTCGAGTCCACCATTCGTGCCGAAACCACCGACAGGATGCACGCGGCAGCATACGAATGGCTCGAAGCCTCATCAGAAGTGACCAGATTCATCATCATTGTCCAGGGTTTTCAGGTGAAGATAATGTAAGCTCCAGGTGTGCAATTTCCAGCGCGAATTTTCTGCAAGATTAATCAAGTCAACGACCCAGCAGGATCGCTGCCATCGCAAAGCTGCGCAATAATATGCAGATTGCCGTTGGTCAAGGTCAGGCCAGACCCAGAACCCAGACCCGGCCAGTCCAGGCTCCCCGAAAAGTTGGGAACTGCCGGGTAACGACTCGCCGGCTCATCTGACGGTTATTATTACCGCAGCGCTGAAAGGAAGAAAAAAGAACACCACCACCTCGCTGCCTGCATAGCCGTACATACAGAAGTGTCGGTTGTGCTGGAGACAGTACACTTCGACATAATCTCGACATAATCTCGACATAATCTCGACACAATCATTCTGTGACAGGGACTTCCGGGGCGAACCCTGAGGGGGAGATTTGGTTGTTTCCACCCCTGCCGAGGAGGGGGCGAGGAGCCATGGTCCGTGTCACCGTGGATTGACGACTTGGAGGCTGGACTTCTGGAGTCTTGTGTGCAACTTTACTCAGTTTTCCCGCAGGTTTTCCCAGATGAAGGTCTCCGCCGCCAATTCCGGGGGGAAGAGAATTGACGAGGATTGACAGACCAGCAGTGCGGTGCAAAATGTAACCGCGAGCGGCAACACTTGAGCGCCAGTCTCCAGAGGGGGCCGAGGGGATCGCCTCGGGGGTCTGAAACCCTTCTCTTCGGGGGTTCAATGCTTGGCCAAGAGCCAAATGGTGAGGATTGTAACTGTACTCAAGCAGTGGACTGGGCTTCCAGTCACTGTGCCGGTTGCCCATGGGCAATGGTACGGAGTACCTGGATGATTCTGAACTTTGCTCCGTCTGATGATGCTCATTTCCATCAGATCATCCCGTCGTTTCGATCTCATGTTTGCTGGCCGGGTTGGCTGCTCTCCTAGTTACAGCAGGGTCATCCACGCCTTCTCGTCGGTCACACGAAAGCACCAGAGACATTGAGCATTACGTTGCACCAGCTGAAGCCAGCTGCGGTCATGAGCTGAGCTTTGAAAATCCGAGTCTTTGTTCTACATTCCACCAAGCCCCCGGAAGATGCAGAACGACTCGATCCTCGTGGCATCTGAGACGAAAACATTCCGCAGCAGTGAAGAACAAACCACGGGCCACGAACCAGGACGACAACTCACAAAGCTTGGACCCGGCGTTGCCAACTCCATCTTCGATTCTGATGGACGATCATGGAGAAGGCGGAAATTTTCTCTGCTCCACGTCGGCGCACACGTACCGCATGTCTTGGCACAGCTGGCCACAGCGGCAGATGGGAGATGGTCGATGGATCGTGGCCCTCTGTCTCCCGTCTAGAGTTGCATCGAGACAACGTAACGATGTGGACTAGGAAATAGCATGGCGGCAGAGGCAGAGGCAGTTAGTCGGTCAGCGACAGTTTGGGGGCCAGAGTGCCAGACTACCAAGTACCAACTTCCAAAACTTCCAACAACTCTGGAACTGCATGGCGCGACAACGTCGCACACAATGGACCATTTCAGGGCTACCGCGTCGATCCCATTCTCCCCCCGAAGAGACGCCACATTGATCCGACCCCCCTGATATTTGGCTCTCCGGAGTACAGATTACCGCAGTCGGGTGCACAACAGAGATCAGTGACTGGAGAGGTTGTCAGCAAATCTAGGTCATCCGCTAAAGGGGGGACCGAGGGGCTGAGCGCAGACTCCCTGTTGGTCGGTGCCTCGATTTGTTCCTGGCTAGAATCTGGTCTAAGGCAAGGTACCCGAGTCGACCAAGCGATTAAAAGCGCCTAGTAATGAGAGGGAAAGAATTGAGGGGGATGAGGCCACTGAGCCAACCGACATACTGCCGCTCCGACTCATTACCTTCTCCTCCGCTTCCAAGTTTCCGTCCCGATTCCCTAGCCACGGAGCCTGACACAAGATTGAGCACGACTGAAAGATGTCACTATTAACAGGCTTTATCGGACTATTCCCGACACATCTATGGCCACCATAGCCCGTACACAGTATGATATATCCCGCAGAGAAAAGGGGTCAGGTTGCACGAGGGTCAGTTAATACTCGTGCACTATAACGGAAGCGGTGCATATCGAGATGTGCAGTCTTCTGTTACGTCACTCACTGCAAACAAACAACACCTATGGCTTTTTCGTAGGGCAGGGCTCCCGATAAGAATTTGCGGTGAGAGACGGGCCGGCGCCAAGTTGCAACTGTGCCGGAGTGTAGGGCACATGCGAATAGGGGCGCAAAAGGGATCGACTGGCTACCGCTTCGTCGCAGATATTTCCAGTCGGCGGCAGTGTAAAGTCAGCTACAGCACGCGCGCGTGCGGCGCGCTCGCCATTCATCACGTATTTAGCACCGCATTACACGAGTATCTCTCTCTCTCTCTCTCTCTCTCTCTCTCTCTCTCTCTCTCTCTCTCTCTCTCTCTCTCTCTCTCTCTTTCAGCGCGCCTATGGATAGTTCGTCTCACGTCTCTTCACGTCACATCAAGATGGGCAGGGTCAAAACGGTCACCCTAAGGTTAAGTGAGTTTAAGGTCGGTCGCTAAAACGCCTCCATCGAGGTAGGTTGGTTGGTTTCGCAGCGGATCAGGACGCTACGGGCCTACGGGGAGACTCTCTCGAGAGGAGACCGCACGTCAAGCAGACGGACCCCCCGGCTAAGCGGCAGTCTCTCATGGCGTTTTCATTTTTAGCCCTTTTGTGGCTCACTCTGGTTTGGCGCCGCCGGGCGAGACTTAACCGCTGCATTTAGCAATGTGCCGTTGGCTGACTGTTGGCGCTAGACTAGATCACAATGAAAGTTGAACGGTGAGTGGACAGAGCGTGAGAAATGGCTGGGGTTTCATGTGAGGGGAAAGAACGGTAAGCTACGAATATTTGGAAACAGAATCTGGCAGATTGATGCAACGGTCGGCTGGCTGAGCCTCTGATGGAGGTAAAAAAAACTTTTGAGACTTGCATCGCCGTGTCTGCAAGGCCGAAAATACGACACATACCTTATGATGGTGTTATTGACCACACACGTACTCCGTAGTAGTAGGTACGCCGTACAGATACGGGCCTGAGCCAACTGTCGGTCAGTCTGCTAGCGGTCTGTTGCACCTGTCACCGTCGACCGAAGCTTTACATATGCGCACAGATTGGGTTGGGCGCATACGAGGGACGACTCGGCCGTGCATACGGACGGATGCTCGTACGTCTGAATGTCGTACAGCATACGATGGCCCATGGCCTTATTGCCAGTTGGTGTACTTTAAAAAAAAAAAAAAGGCATGAAGAGTCGTTCTTGTGTAGCGCAGGGCACAATGCCTGTGGTTCGGCACCGCGGACGGGACAGCGGCAACAGACAACAGGCCATCTCCACCGGTTTATGGTCTCTCAATGAAAAGCAAATTGAGCATCCCGGGATACTGCGTACGGATGGACGTTGAGGTCTGAGTATGGGGGGCTGTCGGCTACCGACGTGTACGAATAGGCTGCGAAGCCGGCATTATGCAAGAAGTTAAGAACAAGCTCAACAACGAGGGGGAAAGAGCAGCCCGCGCGGGATCGATGATCAAGAAGCAATCAATCTCTCTACTTGTACGGGTACGCTCTCCACCGACTGGATCCGCAAGAGATCTAGAAGTTGGTCACCGGTTAGAGGGCTGAGCCACGTTTGCACGGAACACTGCCGTAGTCTGTTGGCATCTGCAGAGAAACTGTACAGATGGTCATGGAAGAAGCTTCCGTACGGCTCCGGGTAGCAAGCAAGAGTCAGTAAATGCACGCTCTCTGATGCTTCTTCTTCTCCTTCTCAGCTAATACGTAGGAATGTACTGTACGGATACTGCGTACGAATAGTGTGCAATGACAGCGTATCCAGCTCCGTAGGTATGGGACCATAGAGTCCACAATCACATCTTTCATTAATTTGATCAGCAAGGTGAGGTACCTTATCGCAGGGACCCTCGCATCCTGGACAGTGACTCTAGGAGTCAGGGATGACGGGGCGCCTGTGGCCACGATCTTGACTGGGATTCGGGCTGATGTGGACGGTGTGGATCCGGACGATTGGCCACGCTTGTGTCTCATGTTTGGCGGTACCTGCATATGAGGAGCGGGATGGCAGGGGTTGGGCCGACAGGGGTAAGCTGACCAAAAAGTGCGCTGACAACTGGCAAATCCAGGACGACAGGCAGGCGCGCACGGCGAGGCAATAGCAACGGCACGGGCTGACAGGTGGTAAGGTAGGAGGCGCCTCCGAAGGCTTTCCCTGCTTGGGCAAAGGGGAAACACAACGTCGAGCGGTACGTATCGCTCAAGCCTCTTTGAAAAAACAAGGTCGGAAAAGGAGTCAACATCAACGGTCTCTCTTCTCTACCTACCTTGTCTAGATACCTCACTCTTACACTTTCTCACTTACACTTCAGTCCAGCATCACAGTTGTCACCGTCATGACTGCTCAGCACTGACTTTCGTGACTACAACTCAATACCCAGGTCCATCCATCACGGCTACCGCTCATATTCCCTCACATATTGCCGTCGTCGTTGTCGAATACTACCCGGGCTGCCGTCATCACCGGCGCAGGTGGGGTCATCTCACTCCTGTCTTTTAATGAAGAGGACTCCGTCTGTGGGTTTGACGCTTGACTCCTCGAGATGGAAGACGAAAAATAAAGGCGGCTTCATCTCTTGCCCCCATGCAAGAGTCGAGGGCTGTGCGGCGAGCGGTGCGGTGGCCGCTGGTTCGCCTCTGCCTTAGCCCAGCTTCCTAAGGTGGGAAGCGGTTCTTCGTACCCCCTGGATCATCGAGCAAGGGTCCTTGAGAACCCCCCGGCGCCGTCATCCTTTTTTCTTTCCCACCACATCCGTGGTTCTCCACTCCACTCCGTGCCTCCTCCCAACGACACACACTCACACACTCACACACCACACCCTCACTCACTCACTCACTCTTACCCTCACCTCTACTCGCCCACTCACTCACTCTGCGCTTCCTTACTCACTCACTCACAACTCTACAGAGTACCCTTCTCTTGCTTGGTGCCGGACTAGTCTCGCGCGTCCTGCCATCTCCTTCTCACCCTCACAGATGGTTCACCATGTCAGGTACACTTCCTTGGCATCCATGTCATCCCATGCGGGCCAAGCAAGCGTTTGGCCCCAGTCGGTCCACCCCTAATGCGGTGCGATGCGCCTATGCCGCCGAACCGCGACAAAGTTCCTTGCTCCCTCTTTCTCTTTCTCTCTCTCTCTCTCTCTCTCTCTCTCTCTCTCTCTCTCTCCCATGTATGCTCTGTGGATGGAGTACTTTGTAGTGTAAGTGGGAAAGTTCCCTCGCTGTGCTGGCAACCTGGGCCTGCCTTGCAAGCGCAACGGGTCTCGACCGGGCCCTGGACCTGCAATCCCAAATGTCCATGGCATCTCTACACTACGGAGTACTGCGTAGAGACTAGACTCTCTCTCATACTCCGTGGATGATGGACCATCACCCTCCAAGATGAAGGGCCCACGGTCTAATGTAGCTCCCACCCGGGGCCACCCCCCTCCATCAAAGTCCACCCTCCTCCTCGAGCCTTGAGGATTTCGATCCTATCCACACGTCCACGTCCCTCCAGGCTCCCCTCCCCTGCCCCCATGCTCCTATGCCCATGTACATCCACCATGGGCTCCACGGGCTAAAAGGACTCTGACCTCCCTCTCCCCTTCTAAATATCATCTCGCCCTTCCTCTCTTTCACCTATCCTTTCTACCTTTCTCTCTCCACCGCACAGTCTTTCGTTGTCAGTCTTCGGACACATTCCATTCATTCAGCCTCAACCCACGCTCTCTATCGAGTATACCATTCGTTCATTTGCGCAAACTGTGTCTTGCAGCCAACACTTTTGAGAAACATCCCCGCGAAATTGATCTTTCGCCCCTTTTACGATCCCCGATCCGAACAAGCAAAACCGTCTACCCTCGTGGAGATATCTGAAGAGTCGTTGGAAACAACCCATACACAACCATCAAAATGAAGTCCTCCATTGCCGCCGTTGGCCTCATGGCCTCCCTCGCCAGCGCTTCCGCCTACCAGCCCCGCCACTTCCACTGGCGCCGCGACAACACCACCGCTCCCGCCGGCTACACCACCCTCACCGTCGAGGTCACCGAGGTTGCCACCGTCACCTCATGCGCCCCTACCATCACCAACTGCCCTGCTCGCAGCGCTACCCTCTCCGCCTCTGACCTCTCTACCTACGTTGTCACCAACACCGTTGTCTTGACCGAGGTTGTCTGCCCCGTCACCGAGGCTGCCAGCCTTTCCAAGTCTCTGGTCCAGCAGCACTCTACCGGCGGTCTCCAGGGCTCTACCCGCACCGCTCCCGTCATCACCACCCCTACCGCCGCTCCCTCCATCCCCCTGTCCACCGCTGGTGTCACCAACTCTGCTCAGGACCCTACCGTCACCAGCCCCCCTACCGCTGGCGGCGACGATGAGGAGGAGGACGATGACTGCCCCGCTGAGGATGGCGATGTCGTGACTACCGTCACCCAGATCATCTCTACCAAGACCCTTACCATGACCGTCGGCAAGGGCTCTACCGCTTCCGTCGTCACCACCGCCATCCCCACCACCATTGAGTCTACCATCGTCGTCACCAAGCCCACTGGCTCTGCCACCGGCGCCGGCGAGGAGCCCACCACCACCACCACTGCCACCTCCACCGGCACCCGCACCGTTACCATCAAGCGCCCCGGCCAGACCGCCGAGTCTGCTTCTCCCAGCGGTACCCTCGGTGCCGACGGCCAGTGCGCTTGCCCCTCCGCCGTGACCGTCACCATCCCCGCCTCCACCGTCTACGTTACCATCGGTGGCTCTGCCCCCGCTGCCACCCCCTCCGCCAGCGCCAGCAAGACCGCTTCCGCCGAGGCCCCCGTCACCACCGGTGATGTCGGTGCTGACGGCGAGGACGATGAGGAGGATGACTGCCCCGCCGATGAGGACGTCGTCACCCTTTCCACCACCGTCACCGTTGCCCCCTACCCCACCAACGGCACCGCCTCCGGCGCCGCTAAGCCTACCGGCTACTACAAGCGCTCCAACAAGCTCTTCTAAGTGTTTGATGTAGATTTGATTTCCCCCCCGCATGTCAAGCTATATTTGGTTATGAGAAGAATCTATGATTCATGAACAAACACATTCTTATCCTTCTTACACTTTTTTGTCTTGTATACACTTCTTGGGGTGAAAATAAAGCGAAGTTTTTGTACAAAACAACACAAAGCCGGGGTGGGAAAATACAAACAACTCGCACTTTATTCTTCGGTCCTGCCTGCTTTTTTGGTGTGGTGTTCTTTTTTGTCTAGATGGGAAAGAAAAAGGGCGGACAACCTTTTAGTATGGCGAGTCCATTGGAAGGGTTGTCTTTTTTGCTTATCTGGTGGTCCAAAGCATTTCTGTGTGTTTTTTATGGGAAAGATCAACACGGGCATCATTGCATTCGCGTAGCGGGTCGTTGGGGACCAAACAGAGATATATTTTCTATTGTTTCTTGCTCAAAGAAAAAATCCAGAAAACTTTTTTCACTTCTACTTTGTACATACTTATATACTCGACCGAGAACAGTCAAATGGGGATGAGGTTTGGTGCGATTTGAGTCTCCGACACCCCCTGGTCTGAAATGATGAGACGGTTTTTCCACATTCCCGCTCCCCCCCCCCGTGTCATGCATGCTGGCTGCAGCCTGCTGAAACGAGACGGGAAGTTTATCTCAACTCTCTTTCGACTTCGAGTGAAACTTGAGATGAACGTAAGGTGTGACTTGCTTTTGTGAGACTTTATTGTCGTTCAGTGACTTGTGACTTCTGTGTCGTTGATGTGTATGGACTTGGACTGCATCCCTCGTGACGCTCCGCTTTCCACAGCTCCGTTGGACCTTTGCCTGACTTGGCTTGTGTACCGTACCAAGTTCCTCTTCCTTTAACAAGTCTGCCAATTGAGGTTTTGAGATGGCACATCAGCAATGAACGTCACTGAGTAAGCAATCACTGGAAGGAACAGGTTGTTTAGGGCCCCTCCTATCGCTCTTTTCACCCTATTGGCATCCTGGGCCATCATGATCTGTTGGAGGGCCTTGGCGATGCCTAAGAGAGCTCTTGGTGGTTTACGAGGCTTTGTTGGTTTCCTCTTGCCAACTTACCCCCGCGTATCAAGTTCTTCAAGATGAGGCAGTAATACCCATGTGATTGTTCCATTCGAAATCATGGCGCAGATTCTTGAGGCTCTCTTTCTTCTGGCGGAACAGACATATGGCAGAGGTCCGATGGTGATGTATCGTAAAGGTGAGGTCTACTAGTCATACCGGACGTCTGGGGCAAGATTTTCTCAGCACAAAGATGAGACTTCGGCTGTGTATCCTGCCGAGGATCTGGTTTGCGATCGGAACCCTGTCGACTCCACGGCTGTCTTCCTTCTTGGGTTATGATGCGTAACATGCTGCCTGCGCATGTGGCTCGCGATGTGTCGCGACTGCTATATCCAAGTTTTCATATACACGGTCAATGAATCCATCAAGAGCGACTTCGCGAAGTCTCTTTGTCCAACTAACGGCTAGGCTGACTCCTTTGGAGGCCTTGCCAGCCATGATGTTGAAATGAATTTTTATCCATCGGGATAGAGATTGCCCCCTTTGCTAGAGTATTTAAACCCCCAATGGTGATTAAGCGATTGATGGATATCAACACGATTCATCGTCATCCGCTTTATTTCGGTCGCGGCCGCCAAATCAAATCCTTATGGTTGAAATTCCGCCACGGAAAATCCATACATATCCCGTACTCTTCTTTAGATGACTTTCTATCCTGCCGGCGCGCCACTCAGCAAACTTCAACCACGTCAGCTGATTATTCCTGAAGAATATCCCGGTGATGGTAAGATGGAGGTCAGGATAGCGTTGGAAGCGTTTGACCTGCCCCGGGGTACGAAGCTTGTCTCCATCCGCCTTGAGGATAGTTCTTCGGGCGAGCTGCGCAATTTTATCGATCGGAAAGGGATGGTTGGAAGCTGCATCATATATCTCAGGTGGTTTGTCGCCTTTGACACAGAAAGAAAGAGCCATTTTATAGAGAGTGTCCAGTCTATGGCCCGGTCAGCGAGGAGTCAGATATGTAGAACCGACCTGGCAGACCAACTTTCTTACCAGAAGCACAACTTCGTAAAATGCAAGGAGAGACCCTGACGCGGGTTCCAATCTTACCATTCAATTGGATAGTCTAGAAATACCGCTCGGTAAGGTTATTATGAGCAGTGTCAAGGCTGGTCCGAATAGGCACATGTTCCCAGCGCTGATATGACGCAGGACGTCTCCCAAGTGCGTGGCCCCCGTCTTTGCCTTATGCCTGCGGTTAAGTCGCTAAAATGAGTACCTGGCTTGAGTGGGAAAAAAATATAAAAACGGCGGTTGCGTACTTCAAGGGTGTAATGAGCGAAGGATGTCACGCGATTGCGGGTATTCTTCCCGAAGTTACCAAGGTCTCTGTTCTCATCGGGTGACAGAGCAGCTCGGCGACGTTTGTTGGCATGTTTTTCGAAGTCCCCAAAGCATGGAGTCTCAATCTCATAAGCTCGCTTTTGAGTCACAGCCTTTCACCCTCTTGGACGTTTATACGCTTTGGAATACATCAATACGGACAGCTGGGTTCCACCAACAGCCTCTCTAGTAGCTGACTTTGCTGAAGGGCAGCTTCGAGCTTCTCTGCACTTCCTTCCACGTACAACATGGCCATATGCCAACCTGTCCAAGGATTTTGGCCAGACTCAAGCGCCTAGCTTCGGGCTGAGCTACTACCCAGGCTACCACCCACGCTCCATTAATTAGAGGAGAGAGGAAAGTACTGTCAAGTACGAAGCCTGCCTGTGTGCCTCAATAATCTTGAGTAAGGCAAAGAGAAATAGAGCGACTTGTTGTTGCGATATGTGCGCATATACCTAATGTCTATAAATCGATCTCTTTATGTTGTACCGTCAGAGAGGCTGCTCGAACAAGACCGAATTTTCTATTTGATGCTCTAAGAAAACATAAATATATGAGGAAAGTCTTGTCAGCAACTTTGGCCGTCACATCGCATCACAGCAAGGGAACCTCGGAATAAGGAATATCGGAAGGCAACGACGAAGTCAAGATTGAGTCTTGAGGAAGCCACGTCGTTACGAGTTAGAATCGTCCTTCACATAAGCTCTTGCCGCCCACCGTCTATCACACGGTATTCAAGAATATCACATAAAGCCAATGAGAGGCGGCAGGTTCGGGGTACGACGCAATTTTTATTATGTGTTATAGATTAATGCCTTTGGTTGAGTATCGTCATTGCGATGTTCAACTCTCATCCTACCCCAAGAAGGGGCCAGGTCGTGTGATGCTCATGCCTCATCGGGCATTTTCTCTTCTTCCCTTGATACCCTCAAAGCAAGATATACGGACCTATGCTCAGAGAAAAGG